ACAATAATCTTTAAATAATTTCCATGAATCATCATATCTTTTATATTTATGATGTTCAATACCTTGTTCTATTTGTTTAGATTTGGGTGGATATTGACTACATCGACAACACATCTCAAATTCTTTACTTTTTAATATTGTTGCAGTTACTGGATCCATATTCGCACTATTAAAATCAAAATAATCATCTGCATCCTGATTAGAAATGTCAGAGAAACTTTCAAGATCTAATCTATTCAAATGTTCTAAAATAATGTTCATATTATTACGTGCAGAAGGATCATGAGACCAGGATTTTTTAATAATTTCTTGATATTCAGCTGGTATACCGTCTATAGTAGTAAGTTCTGGACGGGTTTTGTCAAGTATTTGACGTTTGATTTCCTCCTTTGAAGTTAAGGTAATAAAGGGCATTTGTTGATATAAAATGGTCCACATAACTAGTGCGAAACTTTTTAATATAAAAATAAAATATTATTTATTGAATTGTGAATTAATTGCATATATTTAACTCTAAAAGTTACCTATATACTTCACTGGCTTTGTTGTATTTTTCACCTTGGATTCTTTCCGGTGAACTCCACCTAAGAAAAAAAAAGAAAAAGGTTTGAAAAAGAATTGAACGGATATGTAAGGGAGGATAAGAGTAAATTACCTTAAAATACTAAGTGATGCTGATGATGTAGATTCTTCATTAGTTCGGAAGTTATACAGTTTAGGTTGTAAAAATTCATTTAACAGTATATTAGAACTAATTATAAATTTAAAGAAATTTTAATTAATACAGTATATATATCAACATTATGATATGATATAATATGTATATACTAACGTTCTAATATCATAGTGTAAAATATCTTTTTCATGACAATAATCCAATGCACTAGCAATTCCACGGGCAATCGATAGTTTTTCGGTTGGCTCTAAAGGATGGTCATTAAGGTACGCTTGCAAATTATAATCAGCCCATTCTGAAATTATGGAGAATTCAGTGGTAGATCGACGACAGTACCCGTAGCTTTAAATGAAAAAAAATTCTATAATTACTCAATATAAAAGATGATTCAGATAAATGTAAACTTACAATTCAAGAATATATGAACATTCACAAAGATTTCGCATAAAATTAATTTCCTTCTTCAATTCATACAAAGATTTATCAGTAGTAATCTTTTCAGCAACTTTATGTTCTAGATACTTTCGTTGAATTATGTGATCATTACTCCCTCTAACTAATCCACCACCTGAAAGTTCACTTTTAATAATTTCACAATTAAATTGATGTTGAGGAATTATAAGAAAGTTTGCTAAGGACATGGCTCTACATCTAATCTTTTCCCAACCACTTCTTTGATTTTCTTCGTCTAACAAATCTTGATTGTGTTTTCAATTTGTCAACCAAACTATTTGCCTCTTCTATTGACGAACGATCTCTTCATGCTATTTATTAAAAAGATTTTACCGGAGATTATAAACGAATTTACAAAAACGCATATATTAGAATTAAATTGAATTTATATAAATATTATAAATATTTCATACCATATCTTTACTATAGTTGACATAAAGATAAATATCCCAGAATTTACTTTTAAGGTTTTGAAAAGTTATGGACTCTACGATAAATACTCGAAGTTTATAATTAATAGCTTTAACATTTAGCACATTTTCGTGGACCTTATTTATATCCTTTTCATTTTTACTAGCTTCATCATCAACATTTATATCTCCGTTCAAAGAATATGAGCCTTCGGGAAACATCAATTTTGTGATTTCTTCTAACAAATCTTGACCATAATTTATTACTTCTAGCCCTCTATTATATAAATATTCTTTATTTTTTAAATTTTCGAAGGCACTTTTGGCAAAATTGAGATTAATTTTTGCATCCGAAAGAGTTGATTCACAATACATTGTTAAGTGGACTTGAAAAAAAATGAAGATATTGGAGATGGTAATTTCTATTCTAATATAAAAATATAATCACTCGAGATATTACTTATTCAAGTGAATCAAGCTTGTTAAAAAAAAAAAGAGAATAGAAATGCCTAAACTTCGGCATTTTATAATAATCATTGAAACTTAAAACCGACTTAGGTATGTACGGCGCAGGAAATTTAAAAACCTCAATATTCTGTGTAGAGATGATGCATAAACTAGTAGTCAATCTCAATAAGCGAAGGGAATCTCTTTACATGCTATTGAGAATGACAATTTAGTTTATCTTCATGCAGTTAACCTTTATTATATATAAAGTAATTGAAGTTTTTAGGTTTCCTGCACCGGTACTGCGTAAAAAATCTAAAACAATCCTTCTATATAGAAACTTTCTAATAGAAGGATTGTGAGTTTTGGATTTTTTACGTAGTACGGTGCAGGAAACCTAAAAACTTCAATTACTTTATATAGAATAAAGACTAACTGCATTGAAGATAACTATATTTGTCATTCTCAATAACATGTTATTACGTATGTATATATTGTTTATATTAGAAACAAAGTACTGTATGTATAAAAAAAAGACAAAGTATCCCGAAAATTGTGCACATCCCTAAATAGCAGATGGGAATTACGTGAAATATAGTATAGTCATTATAAGGAGCGATTGTGGTGTTTAGGCTTCTTACACTGTACATACAAATATACATGTACGGTAAGAATATCATATATGCGTTGGTACTTTATGAAGAAAAAACAACTTAATGCATAAAAGTTCAGAATTGACATTAAGATATATTTCGATACTGTTTATCACTAGTTTATTACTGGCTAAAAAATATTTCACAGTAACGGTAATTATTCTCCCAAATACAGAATTTCTAAGACTATATTGTACTCAGGTAAAATTATTGCAATACAGTATCGATACGAATGTCAGAATTTCTACGGAATTAGAAATTGAAATTTTAATTAGTGGTCCTCTTTATTCGATGTGTAAAGTACAGCACATAGTTCTAGAGATGCATTCCCTTCAAGGTGTTGCTAACCTTTTTTTTTTTGGAAAATTGTATTAGATATAAATATATCACCTGCGGATGATAAAGCTAATTGTTTATATGCTTAAAATTGATTTTGTATACATGCCGTACATTATTATGCGCATAAAATTACGTATCAGATATAGATAGACTAGTGAATGGAAACTATATTAAATAGAATTTAGTTTAGTTTAAAAATATATATTGTCCCGGGCAAAAGGTGGGGTCTACAAAATTTAGGCACAGCAAACTCGTGACTTAATAAGAATAAGTGGCTTCGAGAAAATGTTGTAACTAAATAATCATGTTGTCAAGGTCTTAGCAAAAATATTAATAGAATATTCTGGTAATGACAAATGAAAACAAGAAATACTGGTAGAATAGACTCTTCGAGTGTCAAAGCATGAGTGTTAAACCCTTTAGGCTAAAAGAGCCCTAAGCCTTATAATTTCCGAAAGTTATAAAAAGTCGTAAAGTTCCTTTTGTAGAGGCATCCTACGAAGTTTTAATATTCTGTTTATAAAACATTTAATAAAAAATTCCTCTAATAAATCGTCCAAATAAATTACCCTTACTACAGCTGTTTTCAAAAGATGTGGAAAACGATTTCCATATACCCATGTGGAGAATCGAAGAATGTGGAATTCTGCTTAGTAAAAATCCGGGACTTGAAAATTCTAGAAATCTGGTGAATTCTCCATGTTATAGTGATCTTCATCTTTCCACAAATTTTTGAAATCGGTTGTAAATCACCAACGTCACGCTAGGGTGTTACCTCAGCTAATAAATCAAACCATAATCAGGATAACATATAAAGATCATTAATTTCGGATTTTTTTAGGCTGTATATTATTTATTAATAATAAATTAAATTTACATTATTAGCACAAGTATCTAACGAAAGTGTATAGATTTTTTTTTTTAACATGAAGCACTCAACTAGCTCTACATGGTAATAGAGCTATTTTTTTTAAATAAGTCTTTAAAATAAATTTGTAAAAATTAATTAAAAAGTAAGAATTTTTTTCAGTAAATCACTATAGTCGGTAAGAATTTTTTTACATTTGTTCCGATATCTAAATCCTTGTATCACCACAACGAATTTTTTACAGTAAATCACTATAGAAATCACGTTTATTCCAATAGCTAAATTCTTGTATTACCTCAATAGTTGGTAAGAATTTTTTTACGTTTATTCCAATATCTAAATTATTATATCACCATAATAGTCGGTAAGAATTTTTTTACAGTAAATTTCTATAGAAATCATGTTCATTCCAATATCTAAATCACTTAGTAAGTTGTATAAAAAAAATCTATTTCATTAATAGGATAGTTACACATCTAATATTTTAGTATAACAAACTAAATTTTTTATTTTAATATGCATGGTATTGAGTGTGGTCAAGTGAAAACCTTCAATTATATTTGCACTGGACATAATCTTTAATAATTTAAATTAAAAATGTTTCCAGCATAAAATATAATTAAAAGTCTGATGACAAGTTTCTTTTGACTATATCATATATATATAGATAGAATTTGTTCTGAACTCTATGCATAAACTTAAAATTTTTTCATAACTGAATACAGTATATCTACTTTTTCTGCTTTTTGTCTTATTGATTTATTTCATATCTGAATTTATCTGTTCTCTATCTTTGCTCAATTTATTTTTCTAATTTTTTTGATCTTTTTACTTTTCTAATTTTTCTGTTCTTGCTACTTTTCTTACTCTTTTATTTGATCTTTTTACTCTTTTTGTTTTTTAATCTCTTTGTTATTTTTACTTTTCTAATTTTTTTGTTTTTGCTACTTTTCTTATTCTTTTTTCTGATCTTTTTATTCCTTTTGTTTTTTAATTTCTTTGTTCTTTTTACTCTTTATGTTTTTAATCTCTTAGTTCTTTTTACTCTTTCTTTCTACATTCTTTTTTTATTCTTTTTTTAGACTTTTTTTATACTTTTCTAGCTCTTTTTATTCTCTTAGCCTCATTTACTTTTTATAATCTAATATTATCTTATAATTCAATATTATATTATTACTATTTTATAATCTAATATTATTCATTGCTATCTTATAATCTAATATTTACTATTACTTGAACTTTATCTTTTCATTATACAATCTCTATCTTATATCTTAATTTCATATCTATTTTTTTAACATTACACAATCCTTATCTCATTACCCAAATCATTATCCAAATCTCAAACTTTACCTTACTACTTGAACCTTATATTATTATCAAAACTCCATATCTCTATTATCTTATTCTCTAAAACTTGAACTTTACTTTATTACTCAAACCTTATATTATTACCAAAAAACTACATCTCTATTATCTTATTCTCTAAAACTTGAATTTTCTCTTATTATTTAAACCTTTTATTTTCTAAACACTATCTTATTACTCAAATATTATCTTCTTTATAATTATAACTAAATATCCAAATAAGCCAGATAGTACAAACAAAAAAAAGTATTTTTAGAAAATATGTTAAGTACTTTTTTTCAATTTTTGCAGAAAACTGGTAAATAAATAATCTTAAAAATTATATTTAGTGAATATTTTTAAATATTAATCTTCTTGAAATTTTTCAAACATCTTCTTTTGGAGGCCTTAATAGAAGAAAGAATTGCTTTAAAAATTTATGCAAAAAAGTTAAAAATTGCAAGGTAATTAATACTTTTGTTTTTTATAAAAAATTTAAATTATAAAAATAAAATTAAATTAGTCTTCTATATAATTTTCATTAAGAGATTTCAATTTAATAACAACACAACTATAAAGTTATATTATGTATTAGATATACCATATTTTAGTGAAAAACAAGACAAAGTGTTATTTAGAGTAATAGCCCAAATTAAGTTTAATTTAGACTAAAATTTGAAATTACACTAACACATTATTTTGTAAAAATATGATAATAACATAATATACTTAGATTTAAATTAAAACTTCTGATATAATAATAGCATTTATAATATATTAATTAAAATATATTTAAAAATAGGAGTTTTTATATCAAGACATTAATATCAAAGACATGAATACTAAAAATACAAAAAACTTAAAAAGAAAGTTTAAGAAAACAAATTTAGATTCTTAATTTAATATGAAAAATGTAATTTTAAAGTTTATTTAATATAAGAATTTATTGTATTTATACTAAAAAATAGGATTAGATATAATGAAATTTTAGTGAAATGTCAAAACCATTGAAGTTCAAACCAAACTAATAAATTTATTTAATCAGAAGAGATAGATAATTTAAACTATAATAATCCTTTAATGTTTTCAATTATAGACATGTCAGATCTACATGAGTGGCTAAAAAACAGGTTCTCTAAAAGAGAATGAAAGTCTATTGCTAGACAACTTATGTGAATACTTAAACAACAAAAATATTAACAGATACTATAGTATAATGATTTGAACTGGGTAAAAAATTCCTAATTGGTTAACCGAGTTGGCTTACCCAGATACAATCGGGTTAACTGTATTGCTTCGGTTAGATCGGTTGACCCAGTTGACCCGAGTTATTCGGGTCAACCGGGTCAACCGAGTTATTCGGGTCAACCAAGTCAACTAATCTAATTAACTTGAGTTACCCGGAAGTTGTTCGCTAAACTACTGAGAACTTTTCTTCATTTAAAAAAACAGATCACAGGCCTATAACGATAGCAAAATCGCGATTATAGGATTATCGATTAATTTATTATAGAGATTTAGAGTTATC